TTCTTGGCATATTTTGGTCCCTTGAGTTGTTTCTTGTGAGTATGAGCTACTCCAGATGCTTAGGATGGTATATCTTAGTGTTTCTAAGGTCATATATGCATAAAAATGATAGCTTGATGGGTTTAACTCAACCATGCAAAGGTCGATGTTTATTTCATTATGTTAGGGTGTTAAAATTTAGGTCATGGGGCTTATTAAGCCATCCATAATGATGTGCACGGAAGTACCCACTAATTTTAATATTTATAACCTAACAAACTTAAACTAACTATGCACTTATAGGCAGTGTACCTAATCAGATTACAGCATAGCTTGGGTAAGTCGGGTGTCGATCACAGGGAACGGTGTTACTAATTAATTTACTTGCTATCAAATTAACCTAATTATTAATGAGTTTAGAAAGGGGATTTATCTGATTTTACAAGATCAGACGAACTTAATTCAAATTCAATCAATTAAGTAAAACACTCTTGTCTAGTTCGAATCCACTTCGTCCTTATGGCTAGCTAATAATTATGGATTATCAAGTTGGTTGTAATTGTATTAGTAATTTAAGTCTAACTTTACCAATAATTAATTAATTCATGTCAAATTATGTATGGTCACACACAATTAAACACATAGCTAATTATGAATATGAATATGTTATGTAAGAATTATTGTGCAAACGCAATTATAGTCACAATCCACGTTCTCTAACACAACTAAGTTTATTTCCTCTAATTACTAACTAAGATTGGTCAATCCTAGCTCTAAAAATTTAATATTCACTAAACCATTAGGTAAACAAGTTCATGCAGTTAATGGTCACTAATCTACACAGAACATGGAGGCAAGCAACTAGAGAAACAAGCACAAGCATGCTAGGTAACTATAAATCCAACACAAGCAATTCACCAACTAAATATATCCATAAAAATTAAACTATTCATAAGTTGGAAGCTTCATCTAGCGAAACAAGAGTAGCTAGATTCAGCTGCTCATAATAGCAACTAGCACACTAACACAAATCAAAGTATATTGAAACATGTTCCTAAGTAACAATTAAATAACCTAAATTATAGACCTTTACTCTTTTGGTGTTGAAAGCTTCTTCCCAAGACTTTTCTTTTGCTCAAAATCGCCTTTTAGAACCCTTATCAACCAACCAAAAGTTTTTTTGATCGTAATGGTTAAAGATATATATTGTTGCTAATTTTCCTCATTCACGTCGTGAATACTAAGATATTCACGTCGTGAGTTATAGATAGACGTGCCCGTCAAGGATTCCTTCACCCGTATACTTATCTTCTAGAACATAGATTTACATCGTGAATCTTGACATATTCACGTCGTGAATCTGCTTTCCTTGATTTCTTGCCCTTTTATTCTTTTAACTCCCAAAGTTTCTTCATTTGACGTTTTTATCTCCTTTTCTTCAAAATGTCTTCTTTTTGGCTGCAAATAACATTTAAACTCATAAGTACCATTATTCTAAACAAATTACCAGTTTATATATAAAAATGTACTCCTTAAATTGTGAAGTCTATGCTTTCCAAAAGTGATTATAATACCTTAACCATCCCAAAGGTTGGAGCTTTTTATACATATATGCCAATGCATGTATTGAACCCATATTAGGAAAAATGAGGATTTGTGACCCAATCTCTATGAATGGTATCAAAACTTGATTATAGATCAGATCCAAGACACTTGTAAGTCACCTTGACATGGAGATTCTTAAAGTTGCAAACTTTATTAGATCTAACCATTCTAACATTCAAGAACAAGAAGAAAAAGGGAAAAACCTAATATCTAACAACTTTAAATGATAGAAATTGAGTCTTGGAAACTTATAAAGGTCCAGAAGAGTGCCAAACTACGGAATGGGGGCTTGCTTGTTGGATCTTTGTTTCCCTCTTCCACATTCAAAAACACCAAACTAGCTTCAAAAATGGGAGGGAAAGATGATTAGGTTATCTTTCAGGGCTTAAGGGGATGATGGGGGCTGAGGGTGAACAAACCCTAGCTTCCACATTCCTTTAAGTAGGGAGAAAAAAACGGAAGAATACAGTTTCATTCAAGCCATCAACATGCCGTGTTACAAGATGTAACATGTCGTGTTGCGCAAAATGAAACCCTGCTTCTTTTTATCTAGACGCACCATGTTGGTGCCACCAAAATGTCGTGTTTATTCCTCAAAAGGTAATTTATACCCAAGGTTGCTCCATAAATTTTTGGTTGTTACAATTACATTGACTGGAATACTCAAACAGTTTCACATATAGGTAGAATGTGGGTCACCTTAATGACTACATTCTCTTTAATGCCTTAGACATCCTAATTTCAACATGAAATACTAGTTTTACATTTTTTTAGTTGGAGTGGTGAGTACATCCAACACCTTTACAGAAATGCTAGGATAATGATTACCTTCATGATATGTCAAGCACCTCTAACAATTTTTAGAATGGTGGTCTATCTAGACCAATACACACTTCCAAGGAACACTTGGACGTTGTCAAGGGCCTCTAACAATTTTTAAACCATCCAATATTAATGATTGCAATCAAATCACATCGGACTATTGGATTTATTCGTATACTAACCATATGATAAGTTTTTAGGATGACTAATGACTACTTATATCGTTCAGTGTAAAATAATTAGCTAAATGCCACCGATAATCGGTTGGCGGTTTAATGGTGTTAAGTCCATTACCTGGAACTAACTAACTCTATCGAGTAAGAAACAAGTTATACCTGCTACGTGTTCTCGTCTAATGAGAGAGAAGTTTTATTTCCTTGTGTCCTCATTTTCCGTCTATGTCACCTTTTTATCATTCATTGACCATTTCATGTTATTTTTTTTCTCTATAAATGGAGGTCCTCTTCCACTATTTAGAGGATACACAATGGAGAGCTCCATATTAGACTCTCACTTTCACATATACTTCTCTTCTCACATTGATGTTTCTCAAGAGCCGAACGAACCCATTTCCATTTAAACACAATATGACTATATTATGAGAGGTTGCTTTGGGGGCATCATCTCATGTGATAGCTCTAACAAGTATTTTCTATGATTGTAGCTAGGAATCAAGTTGATAACCAATCAACAACCCAAGCATCTAAGTTGTTCGATCCAAATCCACACCAAAAGACCCCACGGCAAGTTCTATGTTCGCATCAAATGACTAGCTATAATAGGTTTACTTGATGCTTAACTTTTTTATTTTTATAGTTTTGACCCATGTTTTAATCTTATCTATGAATTTGATCCCATCTTTTCGTTCAACTTCACCTTAACTTCTTTTACAGCTTTGTTTCTAAATGCTTTTTTTACAACTTAAATTTTTATTAACAAAATTATATTTTTTTTAATAATTTGTTTTAATTTTTAGAAGTTTATTTTCTAAATTTTTTGTTTTTAAACAAGCAAAGATTGTAAACAAAACATGTAAGAAGTTGTAAAAATATGTAACAATTCTTAAAAAACCATGCAATATTTTGTTTGTACGAAAACTAATTTGTAAGAAAACATTCGTAAAAAAAATTAAAAAATGCATGAAAAAAATAGGTAAAACTCTAGAAGATCAATACATAAAAAAACACTAATGTGGAAAAACACAATTTAAAAATTATAAATCAATGTTGCTAGAAATTTATAGAAATAAATTGGTATTAAAATAACAAAAATTTAAATTTAAACAACACTTCTAAAAGAAGTCCATCATCTCGAGATGACTGGTCTTGCTCTAAATTGGTATGCTATAGAAAGATATGGTGACCAATTTGGAATAAATCCAAATCATTCTTGTGCAAAGTAGACTTTCGATAAAGCTTTTGATTCCTTAAATTGGAATTAACTAGACAATATGATGGAGCAAATAGAGGGTTCTGTAGGAAATGGAGGCATTGGGCATCGGTGCTCATCAACAGAACTGAGAGTAGGGAATTCCTCATCATGAGATGCATACGTCAATGTGACCCGTTATCCCTGTTCTTTTCATCATACCTATAGAAGGGCTCAAAGCGATCATCCAATTTGTTGAGCAGATGTCAATTTTTCATGGTGTGAATACTCCAAACAATGGGTCTGTTATCTCACACTTGTTCTAAGTTGGTGATGTTATTTTAATCGGTAGGTGGGAGAGTTCGAATTTCGTGACTCTTTCTCACATTCTTATATGCTTCTATGTCTCTTTGGGGCTAAAATTCAACCTCCACAAGTAAAAAGTATACGCTGGGGTGACAAATAATGAAGTTGCTATGTGTGCTCACATTCTTGTCTCAACGATTTAGGTGAGAAATTCACCACTACTTTTGACATCTGTTTAGGGGATGGTAAGAAAACTTTGTTTTGGTTGGATGATTATCTTGGTATTGGTATATATGTTGGCTGTCAAGTTCCCACACCTTTTTGAACTTGACAAACCGAACAACTGCTTTGGTATCAGAAGAGGAAACCCAAAAAGAAGAACGATCTTAATTGTATTTGTTATGGGTTCTTATGGTGTGCGTGAAAGACAAGGAACGAGATTATGTTTAACGACATTCGTATTTCACAGTCAAAATTGGCGGATAATGTTTTTTTTAGTGTTTGGTTGGGTAAAACAAAGGGATAGTTTTCATAATTGTAAATGACAAGATTGGTGTGATTCCCATTTTGATGTTTAGTAACTTGTTTGTTTGCCCTGCCTTTTCCTTTTTGGCAGCAGGCTTTTAATAAAATTCCCACCTGTTCCAAAAAAAAGTTATCTATCAGATGTTAAATTATGTAAAATAATCCTTTCGATATTCTGAAAATAGTTTGTTGGATATTAGTACTTTGTTATGCTTTTGTCAATTGCAAGTTTGCACCTAGGTCATTTCTTCTCCAACTTCTTACTTTTGTTAAATACGACCACAAAATTTTAGATATATAATATTAAAAATAAAAAAAAAAATTAAAAATCTAATAAAAGATACAACGATTATATATCTATTTACTCAAAACCAATAATTGAATATGATACATATCACATCTTTGTTTACCTTACACGATGGTTTGTGGGATAGTCATACTTTTTTGTGGAGAAATCAGTGTGCACGTAAGTGATGCATATATGTCGAATGAAGGGCTGTAAAACACATGCAGCTCCATCTGATTCTATAAAAGGGCTATTGATTAGACGATGCTATGCACATATATGAAATTAGCGCGTGCTTCATACTATATAAATAAAGATTCACTAGAATAAGAACTTCACCTTGTTGTGTATTTATGTACAACATCAGTACTGAATAGACTACAAGTGAAATGAAACCAGGTACTGCTACAGCTTTAGAAGTGAGAAAAGGTGCATGGACTGCACAGGAAGATATGCTGCTTAAGAAGTGTATTGAGAAATATGAGGAAGGGAAATGGCACCTTGTTCCTCTTAGAGCAGGTACGAAATTTCATGTAATCTTTTTCGTGTAGCAAAACATTTATCTCCTAAATCTTTGTTGTGGTTTTTGAAAAAAAAAGAAGAAGAAGAAGAAATACGAGTTTTGTTTTTGTATGTTTGTCGCATGTATTAATATTTTCATGTGATATACGTTTGCAGGGTTAAACAGATGCAGAAAGAGTTGTAGACTGCGATGGTTGAATTATCTCAGGCCAAATATAAAAAGAGGAAATTTTGGAGAAGATGAAGTCGATCTCATATTAAGGCTTCACAAGCTATTGGGAAATAGGTAAGCTTGACTTCTTATTTACGGGTTGTTTGATATTGTTTGATATGTCTTTTATTAGGTGTGGTAAGAGGCCGAGTTAGATTTGATCAGATTCAAACTGTTTGATGTTACACTTATAGTCTTTGACTCGGTATTGGCTATTCTATTATGGCTCTTAGTTGGTCAGATTTGTGGTTGTATATGACACCATCTTTTAACTTGTATTAAATCATTTATGGCATGTAAAACTCATAAAAATAAAATTGGAAGATAAATTTTAATTTTAATTTTAGATGGTCATTGATTGCTGGAAGAATACCGGGAAGAACTGCTAATGATGTCAAGAACTACTGGAACACTAATCTTCACCCTCGTTCCAAAAAACCGAAGACAGAATCTAGTGATGATAAATCGTTACAACACATCACAACAACAGTTATTAAGCCAAAACCACTTGCCTTCTCCAATACCTTAAACCAATGCATGGGTGACAACCCGCATAATATGGCTAATGGAGGTAGTAGTCTAATAAGAACATCAAATGATGGTGATAACAACTTGAATATATCCTCAGGGGTAATCTCCTCACTTAGCATACCTGATGACAAGACTAACAAGTATTTAGACTGTTTATTTGATGACATTGAAATGGAAGATGACAAATTTGGGTGGTTGTTTGGTGGTTCTCCCTTGGCACGACAGGAATTAAATGTTGTTGAACAAGAAGACGGCCAAAATCAGTTGTTGGAATTTTCAATGGATGAAATTGCGTGGAAAGTAATTATTGATTCTAATCACATGTAATTTTCGAACGTCATTTTCTGTCATTTCAAGAAATAAACCAAATATATAAACTATAATTATAAAGTATTATTTACTAAATGCTACATGGACTTTTTGATTCGTTAGATGGGATGTCAGGGTAGAAGTCTCCATTAATTATGTGGGGGCATTAACTGCAGAGCTGATCATTGAAATGACCACAAAATCTATAGACCTCGCTTTCCACTTAGACTATAGACCTCGCTTCCAACCAACCTAAAAAGTGTTGCAACCTATCATCCCACTAAACATTGGAAATGGTTACAACTTCATAATATTTTTTTATTTATTAATTTTAATTTTTTAACTTTATGTTAAACACAAAATTGCAAAAACGTCCTTGTGGTACGCAAACTTTTCGGGTTTAGTCCAAACCCCAAGTTTTTTGGATCCATAGTTCTTTTGGAGTGGTTTGTATGTGGAATTAATCACCAGACTTAACTCCTATTAAAAAGGATCCACTAACCCCATCAGGTACATCACTCGGGAGAGTAAATTCGTCATTTCATACGTAAGGGACCATTTTTGCATACACCCAAAAAAAGGTTTATGCAAAAATGGTCCCATACATATGAAATGATAGATTTACCCTCACGTGTGAGGCACAAGAGGGGATTAGCAAATCCTTTTTATCAGGTGTTAAGTCCGGGGACAAACTCCACATACAAAACACTCCAAAAGGACCATGGATCCAAAAAACTCGGAGTTTTAACTAAAATCTCAAAATTTTGCATACTACTAGGACCATTTTTGCAATTTTTGTTTATATTAAATAAAAATAATAATTTATAACGTAAATATTTTTTTTTGAAAACACAAAAAAAGAAAACCACATTTCATTAATTAAAAACATAGAAAATTAAAATCTAAATTACTAAAATAAACATAAAATATACCAAATAAAACATTACACTACTTAAAAAGCATAAAAAATTTAAACATAAAAAGCCATAGAGAAATACTATTTGTCGTTGTTGATGTCACCGACCTCATCTGCCTCTTCGTCACCGTGTTCATCATCTTCGTCTTTATTATAATTTTGCCCTTAGAATTGTTTTTCCCATATGTGCTCCATCAAATCATGATGTAGATTGTGATGTGTTTCACGATTTTCTATTTCCAATACTCTAGAGAAGTATGTTGGGTTGCCAACTTGTATTACTGCATATGGATTTAGTATATCATTCCCGGTATATGAACAAATAGCCTTACTCTATTCTTCTATTATCATGTTGTATAAAATAACACAAGCAGCTCAGGATCATCAAAAAAGCTATGTTGACAAAAGGCGACGACTGATGACATTCGACGTTGGAGATTCAGTTTTGCTTAGAGACTCACTGTGGAAGGGACTTATAAGATTTGAAAAGAGAGGAATGTTGATTCCAAGTTTTATTGGACAGTTAAAACTGTTGGGTTTTAGCCATAAGAACTTTCCTATGTGCGCATGCAAAACCCTATTGCTTGGATCTAGGCTTTCTAATAAACATGCTTTTGAATCCAAGACTTCTAATGGCTAATTAGATTAAACAACAACATTAAAACAAATCTAGAATCATACCTTTGAGTTCCTTGTTGATCTTCTTGTCTTGGAGCTTCTAGAGTCACAATTGTCACTCCTCTAATGGCTTACAAACACCAATAGCAAGCAAGATGATTTAGGAGAGAGGAGAGGGGATGGAATTCGACCAGAGGTTCCTTGCTTTAGGTTCTGAAAGGTTGTCCACGAATTCCACACCCCAAGGGCCTATTTATACCTTTAGACTCCTTAAGGGTTTCACCCTAAACCCTAATTGGATAATCTTCACTTAAGGCTATCCAAATCCATTCCATAGATATCCTTATGGACTATTTTGAGCTATCCTAAAGCTCTTAGAAACCGTCCAAAGTCCATCCTAATGGATTTATAGTCCAAAGTCTAACTATCAAACAATTGACAGTTTATACCCTCTTATTTAATTAATCTCTTTAAGTCACCAAATTAATACCAATTAATTTATGACTTATATTAATCAAATAGCTAAATATTATTCCTTATAATATTTACTCTCTCTTAACAAATCATCCTTCAAGTTGCTATGGTGAAGGCAACCCAAAAGGACCATGCACAACCGAATATAGTTTACAGCCTTAGAATCCAACAGTCTCCCACTTGGATAAGTCTAGTAACTATACAAGTACAATACGGTTTGCAATCGTAGCTCTCAAAGACGCTGTCAACTCTGATCTAATCAATCTTGTCCTTTAGATAAGGGATCGTACAGTCCTCTGTTAGATATCATGCTGACAATCCTATGGAATGGTTAGTCTAGCATTTAGATTTCTCGATCTTCGATTTATTTGACATAGAACTTAATCGAACACATCAATTCAGTTCTGACCGGCCCGGCACATAAGTCAAATCAAATCATCGAGTGGCCAAGATATCTCTTCTACCCTCTTAGGATAAAATTTACAGATAAACTTCGACTTATATGCATTTACTTATTCATTAACCAACTATACACAACAATGCGTTTTATAACATCAAGTTACTGATGCGTTTTCGCATTATCAATGCACAATCAATTAACAAATAATAAACCATATATCTAGGTTTTAAGACCATATGATATTATCGTCTTGCGATCACCTTTCATATCGTATTCCATAAGGTGATTCCAGCAAGCGCGGGTTTATTCCAATGCTCAAAACCAGTTCATAAGCACTCATGAACGTTGCAGCAACTCTTGCTATGTCTAACACCATTTAGACACTCTACACACCAATTCACGACAATCTTCATTCATATCTACTCCCAACATATGAACGATTGTGGACCATTTGAATAATTCGATTATTCCTAATAAACTCAATTATTCTGGAAGTCAAAACATGCAAGGTGAAACAATAGTTAAACAACTAACATGTGATAGTAACTTTACTCATAAATAAAACTTCTTTATTTATTCATCAAATGTCAATTACATTTACCTATTATACGTTTCTAATACTATCTAATCTATGCTAATATCATCCTTTAGCCCAATACTCCTAGCATGCTGTAAGTACTTAACCCTACTCAGTCCCTTCGTAAGCGGATCTGCTGGGTTATCTTCTGATGATATCCTCTTCACTACGAGTTGTCCTTCTTCTACACGATGTCTAATGAAGTGATATTTTCTGTCGATATGTCGAGATCTACCATGATCCCTCGGTTCCTTGGTCAAGGCAACCGCACCTTCGTTATCACAGAAAATCTCCATGGGCTCCTTTATGGCCGGCACAACTCCAAGATCACCGATGAAGTTCTTCAGCCATATTGCCTCCTTCGACGCTTCGCTCGCTGCGATGTACTCTGATTCGCACGTTGAATCAGCTACGGTTTCCTGCTTGGAACTTTTCCATGTCACTGCTCCTCCATTTAGGGTAAAGACCCAGCCCGACTGCGAACGATAGTTGTCCCTGTCGGTTTGAAAGCTGGCGTCACTATACCCTCGCACCTTCAAGTCATCACTCCCTCCAAGGACTAAGAACCATTCTTTCGTTCTCCGAAGGTACTTAAGGATGTTCTTCACCGCAATCCAATGTGCTTTGCCAGGATTCCCTTGATATCTGCTAACCATGCTCAAAGAGAAGGCTACATCAGGGCGAGTACAAGTCATAGCGTACATGATTGAGCCAACTGCGGAAGCGTATGGTACTCGTCTCATTTCTGCTATTTCGGCTTCGGTACTCGGACTTTGAGTCTTACTCAACTTGGCATTTCCTTGTATCGGTAGTTCTCCCTTCTTTGAGTTTTCCATACTAAAACGTTTTAGTACCTTCTCCAAGTAAGTATTCTGACTAAGTCCAATTAGTCTCTTACTTCTATCTCTTACTATCCTTATTCCAAAATGTAAGAAGCCTCTCCGAGGTCCTTCATAGCGAAGCACTTCCCGAGCCAGGACTTAACCTCCTGCAGAGTCGGGATGTCGTTTCCTATGAGTAATATGTCATTGACATATAGAACGAGGAAGCTTACTACACTCCCACTGGCTTTGACATATACACAAGATTCGTCTTCGCTTCGTACAAATCCAAACTCTTTGACTTTCTCATCGAAGCAAAGATTCCATCTGCGAGACGCTTGCTTAAGTCCATAAATGGACTTCTCAAGCTTACACACTCTATTTCGGATGCTTCGGATCCACAAACCCCTCTGGCTGAGCCATGTAAACATTCTCAGCCAACTTTCCGTTAAGGAAAGCGGTCTTGAACATCCATTTGCCAAATCTCATATCATGAAATGCGGCAATTGCTAGCATCACTCTAATAGATTTAATCTTCGCACTGGCGAGAAGTCTCATCATAGTCACTCCGGGAGTTTGAGTAAAGCCC